CACACACACACACATGCACACTTAGATTTTTTTTCAAAGGTCCTGATCTGTTTTAACTGCAGAAATATTCTCAATAATTTCAAAAGGTACAAGTCTAAATCTTAATGGTTTAGACAATTTCTTCATTCTGTTTCATTCCTTTTGTAGTCCTTTAAAGCAGAAATAAAAAGAATGAATGTTGTTCATATTGCAGACTCCTGAAGATGTCCAGCTTTGCTATTACAGCTGTTTATAGGAAACTAAGAGGCGTGGTTCTGTGGCAGTAGGTAACACAGGTTTTGCAATAATTTCTCCTTTTTGTTTAGATGCCTCCTCTGTTAAAAGCAGCCACCAAAGCTCAGTGCCTTGATTCCAGAGTAGGTGCATTGGGATGCATGGACAATGCTAACAGCAGTTGGTGTGTGTCTACACCATAAGCATTTGTGAAGTAGCCATTCCATAACTAATCCTGAAGGAGAAATGCTTTTCCCTGACCTGCTACTGGTAAGATTTGAAAGGAAGTGAAATCAGTGTTTTTATATTCTGAAATAGCTTGAGTAAATATGTAGCAGACATTAACATGTTAGCCAATTAGTTTTGTTTAAGTCATGTTTCTATTACCTCTCAATTATAGAATGTTAAGTATTTGGAGAACATAGCAAATATAATTAAAATAAAGGGAAAGGGTTTAAAAATTGATAAAAAGTTGTGCCAAGCTAAGCACACCATCTCAAAACCATCTGAAATGTAGTGTCATGGTTCTATCCTAGTGCTTCATAAAAAGGAGAAAATACCAACAGCTGAAATATGGAAACAGAAATAGCACTGGTATCTATAGTTAATGTTCCCAGAACTTTATGTACAAGACTCAATTTGTTTTTACTTAATTAAACCCTCGCTGCTAGGGCTGAAGTTGCCTCTGCAAGATATCTGCCTCAGGTTGATTTTAAGTTCTAGATGAAGTTCAATCACAGTGAGCCTGAGAAATATATGTATTCACTGTGTATGAAAAAGAAAAAATAAATTCAATAAATTTCTCTCTGAGAAGAAAGCTGACGTACCACCCCAAAATACAAAAACAATCAGAACTAACATGCCATGCACACTGTACTCTGTTGAAAGCTGCTATGTCTGAATGAGCTGTCTATCAGCAATTGAATGCTATGCCATGATCCAGCCTGGGCATTCAAAGTTGTGAAGGGTCTGTAGCACAAGTCTTATGGAGGATGGCTGAGGAAGCTGGGATTGTTCAGTCTGGGGAAGAGGAGGCTCAGGGGAAACCTTATTGCTCTCTACAACCACCTGAAAGGAGGATATGGTGAGGTGGGGATTGGCTGCTTCTTCCAGATAACATCAATAAGATGAGAGGATAAGGCCTCGAACTGTGTCAGAGGAGGATCTGGTTGGATATTAGGAAAAATCTCTTCTCACAAAGTGGTGAAGCAGTGGCACAAGCTGCACAGGGAGGTGGTGGAGTCACCGTCCCTGGAGGTGTTCAAGAGACGTGTGGATGTGGCACTGAGGGACATGGGCAGTGGGCATGGTGTGATGGGCTGCTGGTTGGGCTAGATGGTCTTAGAGGTCTTTTTCAACCTTAATGATTCTGTGATTCTATTCTATTATTCTGGCCACCTGTTTGTCCTGGAAGGACCTGGGAGAGCCCACTTGGAATATGAGAAATAGCAGGAAGATTTCCTCACCTCATAGATGTTCTGCTCGAATAACAGCAGTGGGAACAGAAGTGGTGGGACTGCTTGGTTCTAAGGCACAGTCAGGTATCAAGGCCGAATTGCTGAAAAAAGGCAGCCTGGATTTCACAGAGGGCTGGAAAGCAGGAAGCAGAGACAGCGTGAGAGTGTGAGCGAAGATTAAGTGAACAGAGGCAAAATAGGAAAAGGCAGCATGGAGGAACTGAAATAGTACTGTTAGTAACAAAATAACAAGCACCATTGCTTCAGAAATTTGTCTTTGAATTTCCGAGTACTGTGACTATTTTTTTTCCTTTGGTTAATGGATATGAAATCAACTAGAAAATCTTTGCCCTGCCTCCCTGGGTGGTTGGCCTAAAGAAGAAACAGCTACTGAAACTATTATTTCAAGTGACAAAGGTCTCTTGTGTGTCACTATGATGGCCTAACTTTTGCTGAAGGCTAAGTTGTGGGTCAGTGTAATTTCACACAGTGTGCACTGCAGAAATTACCCATTTCTGCAGCACCAGAATGACTTACCTGCATTGAGACTTGGAGCTCCTACTGATAAATGAAATCAGTTACAAGCATGTTTTAAACATGTAAAATATTACAAACTTGTTGACTATTCCCAAATATGAATTTCAAAGCACCCATGTTTCTCTTACCACTAGTGAACCGTTCAGATAATTCTTGATAATTCTGTACATAGAATTCCTCTGATAAAACCATCTCCAAATCTTTCAGAGATGTTCATTATAGTTTATGAGAAAAACTTGTGTGCTCTTCTATATTCTATATTCTATATTTCTCGCAAAGACTTCAGTAGCAGAATTAATAGTGCTGCATCAGCAAACAAGTTAGTATGGAGGTAAAATGCAATTAAAAAAATCACAAAGTTTCTAAGAGGTATTGACTACCTGCTTTACCTCTTTGGAGAGGCAAGGATCCTTACAAACACAGAGCATGCTCATATACTAATTTAGTATGTTAACATTAATCTTTATGCAGTACCTATCTAGAAACAGATGAATTAAAGTCAGGTAATCCTTTTCATTTCTAAAAGATATACTTTGGGACAAAAGTATTTTTGGTACAATATGCTGTTATATTTGCATTTTAAAATAGAATAATTCTGATTAATAGCATTTCCAACCTAGTTTTTTTTTTTTTTTTTTTTTTGTAAGATACTTAAAAACGCTATAAAAGTAAACATTGTAGCAGCTTAGTTTTAGACTATACCTTGCTTTTCTCTGTTTTTTTTTTGTTTTTGTTTTTGTTTTTGTTTTTTTCTCCAGCTTGTCCTTTGACTATTTTCTCTTATTTTCTTTCCTACCTCCTATTTTTCTTTTGGTGCTTTTTATATCTCTTGCAGACTCAATAACCTAGGCTGGAATGAGACCCTCAGAGGTCATCCAGCCCAACTTCAATACAGGTGTGATCAGATCAATTTGTCCAGGGCCATGTCCTCTTGAGGCATAAGCATCTCCAAGGGTGGAGATGCCACAACTATCCTGGGACATAGCACAGTGATTTTTCAACATCCCACTAGTGAAAAGCTTTTACAAATATCTAATTATAATTTCTCGTGTTACATCCTTTTTGTTTTGCCTTTTGTCCTATCACCTCTTCTTCACAGAGTCTGGAACCATCATTTTGTGTCCACTGGTCAGGAAGCAATAAGTTCTCCAAAGCCCTCTTTTCTCTGAGCTGAACAAGTCCAACTCCCAGCTTCTTCTTTGTGCCATGTGCTCTGATCTTCCTCATTGACCTGTGCAGGACTAGCACCAGTATGTCAATATCATTCTTGTACTGGAGAGCCAAAATTCTGGACAGATCATTCCAGATATGGCCTCAAAAGTCACAGAGTCATACAGAATGGCTGAGGTAGGAAGGGATCTCTGGATATCACCTAATTCAGCTCTTCTCAAGAAAGGAGATCCAGAGCAGGTTGCATAGGAAAGCATCC